CCAAGGACAGCTACCATCTCCAGAAGTTCTCCAATGACTCGGCCATTGTTGGTTGTGTTTCCAAGGGGGAACGAGCTGGAGAATCGATCGGTCATCATGAACTTTGTGGACTGGTGTGAGAAGAACCACCTGTGTCTTTACACAAGTAAGACCATGAGATGGTGATTGACTTCAGGAGAGAAACCCCCACCTCACTCCATTGTGAACATCCAGTGGCAGGACATAGAAATTGTGGAGAGATTCAAATACCTGGCTGTCCATATCAACAATAATCTAGATTGGACTCGTAACACTGACACCCTGTTTAAGGAGGTCCAGAGCCACCTCCACCTCCTGAGGAGGCTGAGGTCCTTTGGAGTGAGCAGGCCCCTGCTTTAAACCTTCAATGACTCTATGGTGGCATCAGCCCTTATCTACGCTGTTTTCTTATTGCCCCATGGCAGCACAGAGTGGGACAGAATGTGATTAAACAAACTACTGAGAAAGGCTGCTTCTGTCCTCCGCTGCACTCTGGACTCAGTGGAGGAAGTGGCAGAGAGGACCCTAACCCTAACCATCACGGAAAACACCTCTCACCCTCTGCACCAGACTGCAGAGGAGCTGAGCAGCTTCTTTAGTGAAAGACTTTGACACCATGTTTGTAATAAGGTGCGCTACCTCATCCTGCTGCAACCAGTCTCTATAATGCAACACTACAACAGCAATAACTTGTATCTCTATATTTCACACTCAGTGCAAAACAATATATATATAAATATAAATATTCATCTATATAAATAATCATGTAAGCACCCTGCGCCCTGTACACCCATTCGTTATGTATACAGTGTATACAAAATGACAAAAGGAAAATGATAAAAGTTGTCTAATAAAAGTTGTCTAAGTCTAACTTAGATAAAGAAAACATCTTGCCAGTACTTACAGTTGATATGCAGAGTTGTATTCGAATGTGTCTAAACTGAGGACTCACTTCTTTAAAAACCAACAAAAGGGAAGCTGCGTTACTTAATCTGGACCACTAATTTTCTTCCTGTAACACAAAAAAACTTTGATAAGGTTTGTGTTACTTTACCAAATTTTGGTCCATCAATTGCTGGTTTAAACTTGATAAATTAGAATATAAATGCTGGGGAATGTTATTATGCGTGACACCTCTAGCTGGCTTAGTGTTTCTTTTCTTTCTCTCGATAACCCCCGTGATTCTCTATCAACTTTATGTCTGTATGTGGTTGTGCCAAGCCCTACAGGAAAATGACATCACAGTCCTTGTCACCACTAGTCCTACAACAGGCTCCAGCAGCTTGTGATATGCTGCCTAAAAATTAAATTAAGAGCCTTATTAAATCAAAGAATACATTCTCTAACTCCAATATAAAAAATAATGCTAAAATAAATTACAAATAGATTCCAGCAACACAAGGTTATCGGTAAATGCAAAACAATAGGTATTTCAAAAACTAGGTTTAACCATTTTGAAGTAAGATGATGACTTAAAGGGGAACACCGTCTTTTTTTTTTTTTTTTTACATTGGCACCCTTGATTTTATGTTATTACATCATGTTCTACTCACTCATATTAGTTTTATGTCATTTGGAGCTGTTCTGAAGATATTCTTCCTATGGACAAGGAGTTAAAGGCACAAACTAAACTGCTCATAATTTATTCTTATGGTACGCCAGCATTCATAATATGTAGACGAATCACTATCCCCCAGACATCCACTGTTATATGTTTTATATTTATATATTTTTTAAAACAAAGCGGACTGTGTATGTCCTCTTCCGTGCCTTCAAGTCGTTTGACCATAGGATTTTCCACAGTGGAATATCTTCAGAACAGCTTCAAGTGACACAAAACTCATATGGGTGAGTAGAACATCATGTAATAACATAAAATCAAGGGGCCAGTGTAAAAAAAAAAAAAAAAACGGGGTTCCCCTTTAAGCTTCATTACCCTGCATGAGAAGCAACCCAACACTCCCAACTAGTGGACAGAATACAAAGCTAACCAGGAGGAGGACTTGCATGTTTAATAAATGTATGTTTCTGCAAGATGCACAGGGATGTCTTGTAATATTTCTGTGTATAGTTTTACTTGTGCATAAAATCACTAACAAAATGGTTTGCTTAATTTTGCTTATTTACACACAGAGAGTGATGAGATACCAACCAGCATTATAGGGATTCATAAAGATATGACCAGGAACTGTGGAGATTGGACTCATTCCAGTAATGCAAACCTACATACAATAATGTCTTTATTTACAGAAATTTCTGACTGTCTTTTACCAAATTTGTGTGTTCAATTAAAAAAAAAAATTGGAATCGGTTCTATTGGCCTTGTCTGTAAGCAAAGATGATGAATTTGAATTGAATTATATGCTAATTGGAATACTTTATATTTATTTAATTTCAAAGTAAATGTAGATCAAAACTGATTCGAAACCTTACAGTATATGTTGCACTCTTAACTGACCCAATAAACAGATTTTAAACATAATAAAGTTTTAATCAATTGTTTTTGTTTGTCTGGAAATGTTTAATCAGCTTTGGTATATTTGATTATTGGAATGAGATAATCTAATGTAACCATGGCTTTCATGTCAAGTAAATATATTATATTGATTTCAACAACTAAAACATCACTGAAACACCTTTTATAGAATAACACAAGTAAATGTTTTCAAGTCTTTATTTTTGCTTAGTAGGATGATTTTCCAATTACATATAAAAAAAAGTACATTTGATATTAGAATAGCACATCAGATTCAAAGAAATAAAATATATTTAATACAGTAATATGTGGTCATTGAAAAGTAAGTGTAATACCTTTTTTCAAAGGTAATTTCAATTAAATGACATTAAATGACAAATTTCAAAATATTGATATGTACCTGTATCCCAGAAAAGGATAAATAACAATATTAAATGCTTCAGTAATTTAGGATTTTTGAATCATCCTGATCCAGCAATTCTTACACAATTGAAAAAGTTAGAAAAAAATCCATACATCTATTAACATAGTGAGAGTACAAAAAACAACTTTTAAATGCTACAATATATATTCGTAATAAACATGTATTAAAAAAGCATATAAATACAAATTTTTTGGTCTTTCCGTTTAGTGATAGTCAGGTACTCTAAGGTGAAGATCCTAATTAGCTCAGTTACTGTATCTTCAAGAACCAAAATTGTTACAGTATATATATTAATTAAATTAATTTTCTTTCTAAAGATTTCACTTCTTCAAATTTTTATAAGAATTAGAGTTCTGTGACAATTTTCAGCATCCTATCGGTATAGAGCTCTATGGATTTTATGCCAAAAGACCCCTGTGGGTTGGACAACCATGTGTCCGTTCAGGTAAGTACATTTCCTCTTCAGCCTCCTCATGAGGTAAAATGGAGACAGGTGATGAAAGATCTCCTCCAAAAACTTAGGAATGAATTTATTCTTTGCTCATCAAACAGAAAAAAGCTGGATGAGGTCAGACAAGACTATTAAAGACAGAATTACCAATTGCAATGTGCTGTCCAAGCAATACACCCTTAGCAATATATTCTATTATAGTGCAGCATGTCCTTTAATCTTAAATAGACACACTGAATGAGGTCAGTCTGTAGATCACAAGTACAAACCAATGAGTTTTTGAGCCTGGTTAACTCAGTTAGTAGAGCATGAGACTTTAAATCTCAGGGTCATGGGCTCAAGTCCCATGTTAGGCAAGCCAATATTAGGGAAGTGTCAGTCTAGTGGTTAGGGCATTGCACTTGGACTCCAGAGGTTTTGAGTTTAACAGTCTGCCACTCTGGGTTCTTCAGCAAGACCCTTAACCCAAAACTGCTCCCTTGGCGCCACACAATGGCAGCCAACTGCTCTCCAAGGCGATGGGTTAAATGCAGAGAGTTCATTTTGTTGCTTTGTACTTGTGACAGTGTGGTGACAATAAAGTTGAATTCTGTTCTATTCTATTCTTATATAGTGGAACATCTTATATGTTGTAACACTGCTCTTAAATTAAATGATTAATAAACCCATGTTATCCAAATCAGGATATTCTTAACTTAGCCAACTCTACTCATGATAATCCTTTAAATAAACTAATTGGTGTTTTACAGTAAAAGTTTTCTTAATTTCTTTTTAACGTGTATAAATTGGTTTTAAAATAAACCTTGGAAGCAAAAAAGTTAATAAAACTCCAGATTTTGAACAATATAAGTATAACATCTCTTACATTTTTATTTATATCTGATGGCTGAACAGGATCATTTGTGACCTTTAATCTCCTCCTTTTTTAAGTCGCTCCAAGCAAGTTATTATGATTTGTTACAAATTTGGAACAATTTTCCACCAGATATCCTTTCTGATGCTAGCAGGATTTAAAACAGATCCCCTTAGATTACAGCCAGTCTTTTACCACTAAATTTTGAGAAAAATAAATATTCAAGAGCCTACGCACCTGAAATTGGATAGCAATCATACATGGCCTAAAACTGTCTAAGACGGGTAGAAACTGGATGTAAAAAACACATTTACAGTAATCAGATTTTTAGCACATCAGCACTACATTTATCAGACCTGTAGAAATCAAAATTAGTGGTTAGTGCAGATGATCTTGGGAAACAAAGGAAAACTAAGGAAAGGAAACTTAGAAAAGATGTCATAAAGACATTTTTTTTCTATATGCATGTAAGTTCTTCTATTCTTTATAGTTCTCTTTTAAAGGTATAGTGGAGGATTTTCGTGAATTTTCTAAAAGACCCACCCTCTCCACTTTCAAAACAAAATGCACATACACAAAACTGTGCCAGAGCATGCATGAGCCCATTTCTCCTCGTGCACACTCTATTTAAAAGCTGCTGTTTGCATCACTAATACAAGCTTACTTTCCAAAAAAGAATTTGCAGTTTTTCCACTATGTCAGACTCACCACTGATAAGTGAAAGTGGGTACGAGCACATAGGGCAGCCTTATGTAAATATATTACTAAAATGATTGACAGTTATTAGGACCACTTATTTTGACGATCCTTCTGGAAAAAGAACATCCTCCACTATACCTTTAAGCATTTTTACAGCTCTGTTAGATATCTCTGTGTCCTTCTGGTCCAGTCAGCAGGTCTGTGTTCTCAGTGACAGCATCTCCTGCCTGCAGTGCTCTCCTGACGTTCTGCCAGAAAACCCCTGGGTGTTGAGCAGCCTGAGGCCAGCTAAGGTAGGTACGTTCCTTCACCAGCTTCCTCATGCGGTAAAATGGAGAGAGATGATGAGGAGGGATATCCTCCAAAAACAGCAGAATCAGCACATCCTTCTTCTCATCAAAGAGACGAAAGCTAGAAGAAGACATACAGAGGAGAACTCATGTTGATACACCTTAATTTATGCTTTTGCACTTTTGTGTAGGAACTAAATAAGATATATGGAAACTGTCATCCATTGATTGAATGACTAATTAATATTTCAAATAATAAAACAATTCAGTTTCTCTAGACTGCATGTTTTTTTCAAAAATAATCCTAGAATCATAAAGTTTCATAAGTCCCCTGGATGGTTTCTTCTTGTTGGAATGTTCCATCTTTTCTCTTCTTTTTCACTCTTTGGAGTAAAGGTCAAATACATCTCTTTGAAATTCATAGGGTGTCAAATTACAGATTTCACCATAACTGCCATAGCCTAATTAAGAATATCCACATCAGTGAACGACTTTTTGCACTTTTTTGACAATCAAAATTTTTCAGCTTTCTTTATGGTTTTTTTTTTTACTAAGGTTGTTGTTTCTGTAGGGCACACTTCAGCTCTTATATTTTAACTTTACGAAGGTTCTTTTGTCAATAAATCCAGAAGTTGCTGTGCATTTCAGAAAAATGTTGATCAACATCTATATTCTACATTAGGAGGATACTTCCACTGCATTCTCAAAATTGTAATTCACATAAATGTATATATATATTTTTCCTGATTTCTTTATTTAAATTGAATGGAATTGTATATTAAAAGTGATACCTTGCCATTTGGATCTCTCTGGAGCACCATTCACTCTGCAAGTAGTTTCGGCTGATGACACAGATAGTCTTCCTGCTGCCATAAATGGCATCAGTAATGTTCTCTATGATGGGTTTACCTGTGCGAACCAAAAAATGTCAGACATTAGTATTTCTTTTTTTTCCCCGTATACGCACTTTGGTGGTACAATTGTGTTGCTAAAAAAAATTTATTACTGTTTTAACCAAAAGATATTAAAGTATTTTATTTATATAAAAATAATAGTGTCAAGTAACTCTCAGAATTTAACAAGTTTAGAAAGTACTCAACATGTTACTCCAAAATAGATTATTTTTATAAATCTGATTGATGAGAACAATATTTAATCTAATAATTTCAGGCTTTTTATTTATATAAACAAAGCAAATAAGTTTAGACCAAAGTTTACCTGGTTGGAAGTCTCTGTGGTGCAGACAGAGTTTCCAGCCCTGCTCTTCCTCCAACACTGGAAGCAACTCTCTGTAAACCCAGTGCTCATCATGGATGTTGTACGACACAAAGGCGTCAAAATTATGATTGTTCTGCTTCTTTTTTTTGTTCTCATAGAGATAGGCTAGGAACAGGTGGAAGGTGTAGATTAAATGCCATCTCAGGAAGTTATATATGAAAGATGTAAGAAGAGTAAGAACAACCAGAGAAGTGCTTGAAATGAAGTAGACAAAGCTGAAATCCTTCCAACAAGACTGGATGTCAAAGTCTAGCAATAAGTTTCCCTGCTTGTTTAATGGATAGGAACATTTATACTGATGTGCGTTTACCACCTGTGTTTGCTTGTTGTTCTTTAACCATTGAATGAAACCTATGTTCGAGCAGTCGCATGTGAATGGGTTGTTGCTAAGGTTCAGGTATGTTAGAGAAGGGAGAAATTGGAAGACTGCATCATCAATCACATTGATATCATTGCCAGTCATTTTCAGATATCTAAGTGCAGAAAGATTGGCAAGTTTCAGGAAATCCAAAGACTTTATATTTGTCTCTGAGAGATCAAGAGTCTTTAGATGTGGGATTGGGTGAAAGAGGTCAGAATCCAAATTTGACAAATCAGTCATTGTTAGAGCCAAGCTCTCGAGGTGTTTATTGAACTTAAATGTGTCATTATTTGGATCCTTTAAATTAACATTCACAGCCCTAAAACTCTGTAAATATTTCATAGTCTTAAGCATTCTAACTGGTAAACTGCAAAAACTGGGATATTCGTGGCCTTTGCAGATTATACTAAGTGTTTTCAAAGATGTTATGCTGAAAAAAAATGTATTCCCATTTGATTGAAGATTTTTGTCACCAGCAAATAAATGGATTGTCATATTTTCCAAATGGTTTAGTCCCCTGAACGTAGCTTCAAAATGAGAAAGAGATACATTAAGAGTTTCCAGGTTTTTTAGCTCCTGAAATGATCTATGTTTCACTCTCCCCATTCTATCTCTTACCACATTTAAAACTTTTAGATTACCCAACGCTTGAAAATAACCATAGTCAATGTAAAATACTTTGTTATCACTTATATCCAAGATCTCGAGGTTAAAGAGGGAAAACTGAAAGGTCTCTCCAACAGCCTTTAGCTGATTGTTACTTAGATTTAGAAGCTTTAGTTCATTAAGATTCTCTAAGACGCATCTTTCAAGCTTGCCAATCCGGTTACTGTGAAGGTAAAGCTCGGTAAGTTGTGTTGTGTTTAAAAAATCATCGCAATTCAAATCTGAAATAATATTGTTATCTAATTTTAAGATTTGAAGTGAAGAGAGGCTTCTTATGTCATATGGGACTTTGCTGAGCTGGTTGGTGCTCACATTTAGGGAACGCAGTTGCCTCATTGATCTTACCGAGCCTTCTGACAGTTCATCTATTTCTGTAAAAAACAGATCAAGCTCTGTAAGCTGTGAGCATGGGGCAAGTTTTGACGTGGAACCATGTAGAATGCTGAAAATATCAAGCTTCCTCAGAGTTGGTATTTTGCAAACTGCGGACAATAATCCATCCCTAATCCACTCATGCAAGAATTGCAGTCTGAGATATCTCAGCGACTGGAAGCTCTTTAGGACCTTGTGCACTCCTTTAAAGGAAAGCACAGGTTCAACAAGAAACAGTGTGTTTACATGTCTGAGTATAGTTTTGTCAGGTATGTTCCATTTAAGGACATCATATTGTCCAGCAGCAGAAAGGTTGATCTTTTCAAGGTAAGGAAACACCGGAGTTGTGATACTGAACATTTTCAGGTTACAACCAGAAATTGCAAACTCTTTCAGACTTGAGGAGAAGTTTAGGGTGAGGTCTTTGGTCTCAAAGGTAAGATTCTGGTATCCGTTTAAGTTAAGTATCTGTAATTGTGGTAGCTGTAGGATGGGCTGAATATAAATAACTTGACCAATGAAGTTGTTTTCCAAATCCAGAGTTTGTAACCTGGTCAGAAACTGGAAGGAAGAGTTGTGAATGAACTCAATGTAATTGTTACTGAGGTCAAGCACTGTAAGGTTGGACAGCCCCTGGAACATGTTAGCCTCTAGGTTGACTAATTTGTTATCGCCCATGTTAAGTGTTTCAAGTGAAACTAAGTCATTGAATGAACCATCTTCCACAGAGGAAATCTGATTGTGTCCCAGATTTAAAATTCTTAGCTTTGACATCTCAGATAAATCTTCTTTGTTAATTTTCTGAATCAAATTATTTGATAGTTGGACTGAAACTGCATCTTTCGGAATGCTAGTAGGAATGGTCACTTGTTCCTGGTAGGCACAATCAAAGTAAACATCAGAAGAGGGGCTCTCCTTGTAAAGTATAGTACAATTTCTCAGTGTATATCCGAATGAAGGTTCAGTAGGAAATAATAAACAGAGAAGTATTGGAATAAATTGTGAAGGCAGGCCATGCGTAATGAACATCCTTAATGGCGTAGTGAGGATGCTGTTGAAGTGGTATCTGTTTCACTGGTGATCTGTGTAAGACATAAATTAAAACACATTAATACCATATATACAGTCATATTCAATAAACGACAAAACTATGTAAATGATCTCTTGCTCTACAACATAAATAACTGTATAGATTAGCTACATATAGATATATATATATAATTCTGTAAATTACGATGATTTCACTCGTCTTTCAAAAAAAAAAATATATAGGTAGATAGATAGAATACTACAGTATATATCAAATAAAAATATTTTCTTAATTCATAAAATTTGGTTGAAAGAGAAGTTTTTAATCCACTGTGAATTTCTGAACATGGTCTAAGACAGTCGTCTGTTGAGGTGTGGGTGGGGCTAATTAACTACCAACCAGCTAGACAGAATATTTCAAATGCAGGACACAGAGTTTTGGGAAGCGGGAGAGGCAAAGAGAGAAGAAGTGGACCTATAAGCAAAAATGGAAGAGGATTTTGTGGAACTGAGACGACTTGCATAACATGGTGTTGATCCCAAAGGTTGTGAGATGTTAAGTAAAAACTTTTCCTTTTCATCCCCTGCTGGATTGTTTTAAATTAAACATATTTCAAGGAATACGAATACTCTTTTGGACTTTTAGGTGAAGAATCTGTTTTTATTATAAAGAGCCCTATCACTTGACATGTCTTTCTATGCCAATAGCAATAGCTACAGTGAGCTGGTGCCTGCATGGAATGGTAGGGGTGCAGGGGAGTCCTCCATGTTGGCATTGCATGGTCTAGCTGCTGGGGTCAGACATGGAGATCAGTTTCCAGGCTTGGCCTGTCTGACTAAATCCGGTCAGGGTAGTTCATTTCTCCACAACTTATTCTGTGCCTCTGTCCTGAGGGCTGCCACTTCTGTGTGTCTACCATGAACTACCTCTGTACAGGGCATAGGGCTGGCTTTGGGTAATTCCTTGTGTCTGGCAGCCTGGGGCTGAAGCATCCTTTAACGAATAGATCTACTTGCTCCTTGCTGCTCTTAGGTGGTGTGGATTACAAGTGTAGCACCATGATTTATGTTCAGTCAGTTTCTTTTCAATAAAAGCATTGCCTATCTGTGTTTCACTGACTCTGCCTATGTCATGGAGCATCTCTTTTTTCCACTTCTTATAACTCTTCCTTAAGCAGTAGTGCTAATATATATTACTGCTTAGTTTTAGGGGTGTGTAAAAAAACAAACAATTAATAAAAAGATTTTCCAATTCTAAATCAATTCTGATAAAATTCCTGAAGATCAACAAATTCAACCAAGATAAAAAAAAAAAGATTTTTCCATCATCCTTACAGCTGCCATTACTGTAGCTAAAATGACTGATTAATTTGTTGTTGGATGTCCATACTAGTATCAATATTTTGCATAAAACACAGTCATGAAATTTGGCTGAAAGCTGAAAATATCCAACTTGAGATTAGATGGGATTGGATCTGATTGCAAAACATTTAGAAAAAAAATTCTATATCTATCGATTTAACTGATAAAATTTGAATCTATATTGATTTAATGACTTTAGTGATCTTACAGTGGAGAAATGTACTCGTTACATCAGCTCAAATCGTCAAAAGAGAAGAAGAATATGCCAAAGAAAGAAAAAGGTGCATGGGATATATCTAGTAGCCAGCTTTTTTTCAATAGCAGGATTATTATATAAAGTTATTGCACAGGGTTTAACATTTAGAAAAACAGGTTATTGCACAGGGTATCACATAGTAATTATACAATAAACCTGGCATAAACCAGATTGAGATGTGTAGTTCAATCAAATTCTAATTGGTATCAATCTGAAAAAGCCTCATGCAGGAAGTGTTCGCAAAAGGGAATCCCATTCAGTACAATTCTTCAAGCTTATTGGGTACCTGCCTCCAATGTTGAGGTTTTAGCCAATCAGAGCAGGAGTAACAGCTGAGATGTATCACATTCTTTATTAGTTTCATAAGTAGGGAAGTTAACTGATAAATCAAACTCTTTCTAACTCCTGTCAGGAGCAATGCACAGACATATTACCATCCACAAAGACACAAATCGTGTCCTTTTCGTCAGTTTAAAAAAAAAAAAGAAATAGTATTGTCTGAAAAATTTCTATATCGAGCATAATGATCCGGTTGGGCTCTGACAAGATTTATTTTCAGAAGTTTGTGATTTAAGAAATCTTGTGAGAATTAATTTTGCTTGCAAGGAAATCTGTACACAGCCCTGCTTAGTTTGTCCTAAAAGCCAATACTAGTTTATCTTGTATGTAACTGTATTAAATCTAGCATATTGACCAAAACTGCCCTGGAACATTTTGGCAACCATTAGTGAATTTATTACTGGAAACACCATGATAGGATATAAAAAAAAATGTGTAACAACAAATATTGAATTTATTAACGAATATAAATTTATGTGATGAAACTTTTTGTCTCGCGATAAGGTCTACTTTCCAGGTCAAATGTTATTGGGCAGTGGCACGGAATGAAACTGTGATGAGTGGAAACATGCTATTTAAGCTACTTGGTAATCATAAATATAGTTTAGTTGCTGTAATAATATGTTTCGTGTTGTGTTAAGGCATTCCTTCATAAACAGTGTTTCCATTGATAATAAAGAAGGACATAAATTATTTCCCTCATTCTATTTTTGAATTAAAATAGAATAAGAAAATCAATAAATTCTATGTTTAACTGTATTGTTTTTTGTTTTTTGTTTTTTTTTTTACAATATTTTCTTATCTTTCAAAAGGTACCAGGTTTCCATGAAAAAAAAAGAAAAACTCGAAAAATGTTTCAATTAAAATAATAATTTAAATCCACCAGGAGGGGAAATAATTTAGCTTTTAAAAGTTTCTAATTAAAAGCTTTCCATACAAGGGTTAACAATAGAATTTTATGACATTTCAAAGAAGACTTCATTCTTTAATTCTGTCAATCCCATCAACTTTGCCAGGGGACAGAAACCCCCCTCAGGTCTATTCAAGATGGGTAAGCATATCAGAAAAAAATATATTCCAACATAATTGGTAAATTAACTGTAATCAAACACTGCCGGGTGAAAGGGCGAAATAATGTTACTGAAGGACAAGAAAAGTAGGAAGAAATATTTTGTTTAAATTATTTCAAACACAGAATCATTGCAGCTTATTAAATGATCTAATCTGCATTTCTTCAGTTGCTTACAATTAGTGTTGGAGAGAAACTAACTTAATGAAGAAGCTTTAGGAGTCTTTGAAAAAGTATGCATTAACAGATAAGCAAATGTTTTTAATACTTACTGTAGGACATCAGATCTGCATCTTCTTCCAAGCCAGTTTGATCAGTGATGTCCTAAGTTCAGTTGTTTTGAACTTGGAAAAAAACCCTAAAAGCCGTTGTTGTCTTGTTCCTCATCATTGTTATTACTTCAGTTTTTTGGGGTCAACACATAGAAGGCATTTTAACAAAAAATGTATTGGCACATGAAAGTACATGGCTTGAGGTGTTTTATGAAATAAGTTCCTTTGTCTTTAAAACGGATCAGCTATGTTGTTCCCCTCGGGACAATCTGGTATTTTATTGGCAGATTTCAGTAATAAATATTGGTTAAAATATGGTTAAAACTAAAATACATTATGGTGTTATTTTTTCCCTCATGTCTTAAAGCATTATTGCTGTCTACTTTTGATTTAAGTACAAAATAATGCAGAACAAAATTTTCAAGGTGTGGTGTCATCAGTGACTTGGATCTGATAAAGTATTTGATGAGGAGTAAAAAAAGAAAGAATAACTTAAGAGGGGCAGCAAATCTGTTTACCACCTTAGCACATCTTATGAGGTATCCTGAGCTATATTTACTGTTTTAAGACAAAATGTGAGCATCATATTATAACATGAATAGATGTTTCTCAAACTGGCTGTTTATCTAGCATTATCCCAAGTGTAAATGTAACCTTTATCAAGGTTTCTAATAGTTATCTAAAAGAAAAATGTATGGCAGTTGTGGAGAATCTGGGGCTGAATTTGTTAAATCTCAGTTCATCTAATCTCTCAAAATTTCAAGTGTTCAATCTTTGCTTTACACATACCAGCCACATCCAAATCTACATTAATAAGGTTATGATTTTAATTTCTTTCACAATTAGCATGGTAGTTATCACCTAGTACTGCAACATATCATGTGATTTTCCCTGGCTTCCCCTTTAATTTAAAACACAAGATTTAAATGCACCATATATTAATGTGTTTCATTGTTCTGTCTGTGGTTTTCTGTTAATTGTATTGATTAGTTCCTCTAAAAAAAAAAAACTTGGCCAACATGTCAAAATACAAACTTCCTACCTATGTATGAGTTTGTGAAGCAATTGTTTTTTTACTGAAATATATGCAAAGCATCCATAATTCAGAGATGAGGAAGATAAAGATACAAAAGCTATAGTAAAGGTAACTTTGTTGATTTTTGTTGTTTTTTCTTAGAAACTTTATTCCAATCAGATTTTATGATCTGATTGAATAGTCTCTGTAAAGTGTATTGAGATGATGTGTTGGAAATTGGCATTATATTTAAAAACTCTGTTTAATTAAATTTAGTATTTTATGTATCACAAACCATCTTTCATCTTAACGACTCACTGAATCAATGTAGTGATGGGCCGTGGAGTTATTAGCGTAAACTGAAGTGTCATCTGAGCTGGATTACTTGAATGAACTAAAAAAAAAAATTGTGTGAAAAGATTCATTTATCAAATCATTAAAACTACATTTTTGGTTTTACAGTTAAGCTGGGCAATAAGCTTAGTTTCTTCAGGCAAACTGAATGTGCCACTGAGCTTAAACCATTTTCTGTTGCTTTAAATTTAAAACAAGCAATAAGCATGGCTTTATTGACTTAGGTGTGCTAATCATAAAAACTTCAGCCTTTTACATTCCTTACAGGTAACAATGTAACAAAGATCACAAAGATTTTTTTCTCAAATGATCTTATTTTTAACATCTGGCAACTGCAATTTTGTTAACTCAAGTGAAAATGACAATCGAATTTCAGATCTTAAAGATACATTTCCAGATATCTATAGCATGAATCATTATATTTTCTATTCCAGACCATGTCTATCCATCTCATTTAATTGGAGTCGTGTAATAGTAAGTGACACAGCATTGGTTTCAGTGTGATTCACTCACTGCACGAATCAGGGCATTATTTGTTCCTTCACTGACTTGTTCTAGCACACAGCTTTAGCTTTAGGACAAGCAAAACAGCGCGATTCGTACACTAGGTGAGCCAGACAGTGAAACTCCACTCAGCACCAGTATAAATGAATCAGCACTTAAATTGTGCAACTGAATCATCACTGTCTTAAAATAAAGCAACAAATCATTACTGATCAGTGCAGTAAAAGACTGAGTAAATCAGCACCATTACATGTAAATATTACTAGGCAAATCACTATTTTCCCCTGTGTCCAGTAGGTCGGCTTGGTGAATCTTGGGTTAGGCCGATAAAATGTTGTATGTTGACTTGGAGTAACAAATGTCATGCTGATTATCAAAGTTTCACACACTTTGATATACCTAAACTGAAAAAGTAATGCATCAGTAAATGACAGTGATTCAGATTTTTTTTTTTCTCACAAAAATAATTTTATGTTTAAACATCTTATTAATGGTTTGTCAAACACTAAAATCTTTATCCATTTATAGGTAGATTTTGGCAGCAGTGACCTATTTGGATCATAAGACTTTTATGGTCCTAATTCAGTTGAATGCCTTTAAGATTTTATTTCAGTTCATATATAAAATTGCCTGCGATGCATTGGCCACCTGACAGTGTCAGGTTTGGTGGAAGTCAATTGAAAAACCAAATGCAGAGATAGGGAGGCAGATTTAATAACATGCAGATGGCAACAGAAGCACAAATCTCACTGCTCAAAAGGGCACAAAAGCGCATGTACTTCCTGTGGAGGATTAGGAGAGCCAAACTTCCCCACCCATCCTCACAACCTTCTACAGAAGCTCCATAAAGAGAGTTCTGACCAGCTATATCTATGAGGCTGTAGCGTCCCAGCGCCGCGTGCCCAGAGCCCGGAACATCATCATTCCCTCACACCCCCACCATGGACTGTTCTCCCTGCTGCCCTCTGGGAAGAGGCCTCGCAGCATTCGATGCAGGTCCAGCAGATTTTGAAACTTCTTCCCCACCGCCATTAAACATTTGAACTGATGAGAAAACTCTAAATCATGTCACAGACTCTGCATCACACTGACAACACCAAACCACAACACTGCATATTTGCAACATATATATTTAATGCTCTGAACTTCCATATCAATGCGTTTTTTTACACTGTGTTTTTTCCCCCACACTGTTTACTTTTGATCACTGCTGCACTTTAAGAAATGGAAATGTCATCAAAAATTTTGTTTTGTATACAATCTGTATATACAAAATGACAAAAAAAATTGTCAAAGTCAAGAAATATTGTAGCTATCTCCCGAATTCTACAATAGTGTCCTCTGTATTGTTTACATTGAAAAAGTGAACTTTTTGTTATATTTACCAAATGAAAATGTGTGAAAAGGATAATCACTCTATAAAAAACTCAAAAAAGAAGATCTGTTTAGTGTTCATTTATTTTGTAAATATGCCTTAATAACAAAATGAACTGCTTAAATTACCTACTTGCGGTTTACTACTTGATGAGACTTTTAATTTTCAGGTTGTTTTGTGTAAATCGGGAAGCTTTGTTAATATGATTTAAAATGAAAGTAAAAATTTTAAATAGTTTTTCAGGTTTCATGAAATCTATGGCAAACTGTTTAGGACACAGAGATCATAAATCCGAAACTAGTAGGTCTGTCTGGTTGGACTCAAGGAACAGGTTAGAAAAACCAAATGAATGGTTTGCAGTCATTTTTTATTTTAACACTACATTTCTTTCAAAACATTACATTAAGAAAATAAGTACACAAAAACTTAGAAAACTTGGTACTTTAAAAAAGTTTTGATATTGACATGAATGATTTCATAATATCCATGAAATATCATCTGTTTATTATAAAATGCAAAATTCTGTTCCTTGAAAGAGTAGAATAGTCAGAATGGAAGCTCAAAAGCTTAACAAATCATGTAGAATAATTATATATAGTACACATTATATAAACATGAGAAAAAAAAATAAAAACATTTAAACAAGATGACACAAATCTTTACTAAATTGTACATATAGAGATTTCGGTCAAATTAGCCTAAATTATGCCTAAGTCAATAATTAACTGTTGTCAATGACAAAAAGCAAGATGTTCTGAAATCCTTGCTAAGCCAAACCTGTTGAATATTTCCAATTGAAGTTATAAATAGATCAAAGCATTTTTCCACTTAAATGTGAATTTTACCTTGTGGTTCTTCCATATATATCTCAAAGCAAAATGACCTTCTTCTCTTGATCTCTCACTATGAAAATCTTTTTTTTTTTTTTTTGCTGCAAACTATTACGATTGGCTTTTAATAACCTTTCAGGTTTGCTGCTGTTCTTAGCAAATCGTCGGTCTACTCAGCAAATCTGAGCCCTAGGTAACCCTGTCCCCTGCTTGCAGCGCTCTCATGACGTTCTGCCAGAAGACTCCTGGGTGCTGCACAGTCTTAGGCCAGCTTAGGTAGGTGCATTTCTTTACCAGCTGTCTCACACCATAATACAGAGACAGATGATTAGAAGGGATGTCCTCCAAAAACAGCAGGATCAGCACATTCTTCTGCTCATCAAACAGTCGAAAACTTTAATTGGAAGAAAGAGAAACTTTATTTGTACTACAGATGACTCAATGCTTATAGTTTTTTTTATAATGTAAGACCTCTAAACAGAAAACCTGTGACAGATGTTTTCTTTATGCATGTTACCAAGTTACTACTGTATAACCAAAAATGTAGAGAAGCCTCTTAATCATGCCATTTAAATATACAACTCTCAGGCAGTTAGCATTCACAGTGGTGTGAAAATAATAACTTTGATAACCTCAGTTCTTTGCTTTGGGTCATACTTAAAGTACATGTAAAGTAGCAATAAATATGTATTTCAGATCATCAAACAAAAGGGGTTACACTTTGCAAAAACCATCAAAACCGTAATTTATAAATGTTAAAGGCACCATTTATTAACAATTAGTAGTTTAATAATGTTTGATAAGAATTTATAAACTACAGCTTATCTAGATCATTTATTCAGGTAATAAGCCTACTAATGTTAGGGAAAGGGTAACTCGACCATGACAGAGCAAGCTAATTAAAAATAAAGGCTAGGTTACGGTCTTAAGTCCACTGATGTTAGGGATAAACTAACATGGCAGGACAATATTATCTATTTACCTTTTATATATAGTATACATGCAGTTTATAAAGGACATTATTTTTAAACATGAATAAACTGTTCTTTACCATTTACTGTATAAATGAGGGTTATTGTAAAGTGTTACCACAAATATTATCATCAGATGAGGGTGACCCAACAAAAATAAAAAACATCAGATTTTTAAACAAATATTTCATTACAAAAGTTATAGGTCAAACTGGACCTATGTGAAAAAAATCTAATACACATATTTGTTAAATAATTCATTTGTTGTGTAAAAAATGGGGTAACTGCAAAAAATGGGGAAAATATCTCAAAAGCAATATATTATATCTTGATCTTAGAAAAAAACTAAAGAGAAGTAAAGTTGTTGAAATCTATCAGTCTATAGAGGGTACACAGTTCCTGAGTTTTTTCTATGGCTTTGCAACAATAAGAGGACACGGTATCAATATATTATATACATAAACATATAATTATTAATGGAACAAACATGAAAAAGGGGCAAACCATGTGAAAAGTGGCTGACCTGTCATGATAACTCCAAGCCTACATCAACTAAGTGAAGGGGTCACCAAAGAACCCAGAACAATGTCTTAATTCGCTGATTAATGTTGACCGAAACTGAAGCCAAAATCATCAAACACTTGAATAAAAACGCCTTTAAGGCGGATATGCAAAGCTAACACTTCTGTTGACCACGAGAACAGTTTTTCCCCATCCACTACCGGCCTTATCAACAAGGCCCAGAGACCCCCGTGACACTGACACTGCCTCTCTCCCTCCCCTGTTCAGGACTTAGAAGCTACACCAATATATTGTACATAGTGTATTGTATGTTTTATATTGTATATAACTATAGATTTTGTATTCTGTATACATATCTAACTTGTCTGCACCATAATTCTGATTCTGACAAAACAGATGTATTAATTTTTCTTAGGCAAGGCAGCTTAGTAAAGTCAGTGAAATCAAAACTGCTCTATAAAATCCTAAAGAAGACTGACTTGCAATTGGTTTGTGATTTTTAGCAGAAGCATAAAGGACAAGGGATCCCAGCAAATCTTCCACTTGCAAACTCCAAAGATTATAGAGTGACAATGACTAAGTCAAATCACCCCAATCAGCACTTTAGGCTGTCCTCCTTGTGTTTGCCTTTTTATGTCAACTTACCTCTTTAGTAGTGAAATAAGGCTTTCATTATATGAACTCCCAATAACATGAACTTTGATGGAAAAAAAAAAATCAGGCCCAAGCTTTAACTTTGCTGTTCATGTCTAGAGCTTCAATGTCTTTACAAAATGTTGTCTTTTTGCTGCCATGTATTTTGAAAAGTGCACCCTCATAAAATACAATCAGAATTTATGTCACTTACCCCAAGGCAGTGTTTTTAAAACCTGAAGTAGTCATTTCTAAAAATTTTGTTGAAACACAGGAATGTGCATTTTTTAAAAACTTATTTAAATGTTATCTGAAGGCAGTAGCCTAACCTTGCCATTTGAATCTCACTTGAGCACCATTCACTCTTGAGGTAGTGGCGGCTGATCACACAGATGGTCTTCCTGCTGCCATAGATTGCATCTGTGATGTTTTCTATGATAGGTTTACCTGTGAAAACAACCGCTACAGTAAATTTGCTGTCTTTAAAAATAGCATTCATTGTCTTATGTTAAAAAACAAACATATGTTAAAAAAGAGTGATTTAAGTTTGTATATCTATATTTACCCCACAATGAGAGGTATTATTCTCCCTATTTAAGAAACTACTTGTAAACAAAAAAAAAAAAAAAAATCACATCAACTTTAAAAGAATATCTTTTTAGATCAAGGGTAGCTATTTACACTTTGCTGACAGATAAAGATATTTTTTTCATTGCAAAGCTGTGCTTTGCAATCTGTTACATTTGCTATAGGAAGTCCCTCCGATTCGCAGTGAGTTTGAGGCTTTATATAGACTCACTGCGAATCCAGACATTTGAATTGAGTGAGCTTCCTGGACGGGAAGCGAAATGTCTTCAAACCTTGGAAACCAAGTCCAGTGTATTGTTTTTTAAACTTTTACAGAATGACTATGACCTGGATGACTGAGAATCTTCATCAGCATATTGCTATAGGAAGGTTTTAGCACACAAAGGCTTATAGCTCCTGTCCATGTGTCTCTCCATTATTTACTTCAGATCTCCATCTCACTGCTTAAGCAGCAAAGCTCACCCAGTGTGATGTCATCATCAGACATGCAGTGGTGGGGGACACTGGCCATGCAGCTTGCCATCAGGGGGTTAGACACTTGGCTTTTCACTCAAATGGGAAAAGAGCCAAAAGCCCATTGTTAGCGGCTTAATCCGATAAAAAAACAACATGGGTTTTCAGTGGGAAAGTGGCTTTAGTGTCAACTCTTTGAGGACCACCCTGTGTAGATTTTTTTTGTTTGTTTGTTTATAAAGGTGACAGATCTAAATGATCTTTGCTGCATACTTTGGTTTGTTGTCCTGCTGCAAAAAAAAATAATAAAAAATTGGGGCTAGTCCTATCCCTCCCTAATTTCCTGATAGATGATTATCTACTTCTTTCTGTTATCTTTTATGTATAATCTTAAAGGTATGAAAGAAGATTTTTTTTAGAGATTAAGTGTTCAGATTCATTGAAAATTATTTAATTGATGGCTGGCATTCTTGCACAAAAAAATATTGAAATCAATAGACCCTGGCCATAAATTACATTTAATTCACTAGTAAGTACTGTTTAAATTTTTTTAATTCTAAAATATGTACAGTCAAAAACGTATAAAGGCAGGACACTTTACGGCTTCTCTAGGTGAAATGTAAAATCATCGGTGGAGGCATTTTCTGCATAGATAGGGGGTACTGACGCATACGTACCATCCAAAAATACACAAACAGCCGTTGGACATCTTCCACCACATAATCCACTTTCCTGCCTTTAAGCCCTAAACTCAATTAGAACATCCACAATGCTTCACTCTTGCCTGCAGGCATGTATTGTACCACTCTCCAGCCAGTTGGCAAGCAGGCTTCCTTTTTTACACATAAATACTTCCAATTTTTACTCATTAGTTGAGAGAAACTGCTGCTATCTTTCTTCATCGCAGTTCTTATGTACTTTGTTTCCATTTTGACATTTTGCTTCCCACTCAAGAAGCTTTTTCATTTCTAAATGTCCGGAATAGCGTTGAGTACGTGGTTTTATGCAGTAGCCCAACAATGTTTCTGTGCATAGTTAAGTCCCCTTTCCTCGTTTAACTGTCCAATATTTGGCTTTTTGGCTTCAACTCCTCTATGAAGACTACCTCTTGCTGGACATACTCAGACAGTAGATGAATGTACTTGAGTCCAACTGAATTATTCCTGTTGTAAGCTGATGGCCTTATACTGGACATCATAAGACTTTGAAGGAAAAACACATTATATGGTTTTGATGTAATTTTCATCTGTTTAGTCTTGTAGACATCTGTTTCCTTGTCTTATCACTATGTTCTATGTTCCTTTGTGCATTTTTAAAAATGTTAGAGTAAACTTTATATCTTAAAACATTCTACTTTGAAATTTTTTTCTGGGAGAGACTTCTTTGTTGATGCAGTGTGACTGGCTGGTGTCTTGTTGTCTTCCTATACTGCACTGAGCCACCTAACATTGGTAATGCAGTTTTGCTGTTCCACAACTTGATTTAATCCTCATACACAGCTTTTTTTCTGTTTCAGTAAATACCTTTGTTTTAACTTTCATGTCACTTTCATTAGCAATAGCACCTGATTGGTGTCAATGGATGATTATAGACCTGACAAATATCCTGAAGTAGCGCAGAGTATATTACTTTACAAGCATAGGGTAGTAACATAAGCTATCAGGTTAATTTAGATTTAATTAGTATGTCTGGAATAAATTATCAGCATGTCTTCAAGCATGCCTTAAACCTTTGCACAGTACTTTTAATCTAGTCATTCTAGAGTCATATCTGTAAATTACAGGGAACTTAAACAGGATCCATTCATGATACATGAAGCCTTGTATAAGAAGTACAAATGACAGATAATTAATTTGAAATCTTATCACCTTAACTCATCTCCCCTTGTATTTTTGTTTCCCTTAAAAAAATTAAATATTCACCAAAACTAAAAGAAAATGTAAATTTGATTTTTTTTCTTACATGTTTATTTGGACTTATTAGACAAGACAAGAAAGACCAGAGATAAATCCAGAGCTTACCTGGTTGGAAGTCTCTATGATGTAGACAAAGTTTCCAGCCCTGCTCTCCCTCCAACACCGGAAGCATCTCTTTGTAAACCCATTCCTCATTGTGAGCATTGTAAGACACAAAGGCATCGTATTGATAAGAGTCTCTATTCGTTCTCTTCCTGGTGTCGTAGAGGAAGGCCAGGAAGCGTTGAAATGTGTAGATCAGTCGCTGCCTCAGGAAGCGGTAGAGCAAGGATGCAAGGAGAGTTAGAACAACGAGACAAGTGCTGAAGATGAAGCAGAAAAAGCCGGGGTCCTCCCAGCATGATTGAACCTGAAAATCTAGCAACAATGTGCCTTGTTTATTTGGAGGAAAGGAGCATTCATACTGATGAGCATTTACTACCTGTGTTTGCTTGTTGTCCTTTACCCATATAATAAAAAGTGCATTTGAGCAGTCACAGGTGAACTGGTTATTGCTCAAGTCCAAGTATGTTAGAGAGGGGAGAGAAGTGAAGAAAGTCTCATTGATTGTAAGAATCTCATTGTTGGTCAGTTTCAGATATCTGAGTGCAGAAAGATTAGCATGCGCCAGAAAATTTAGAGACCTCAGCTTCGAGTCAGAAAGATCTAAGCTCTGCAGGTTTTGGATTGGTCGAAAAAGCTCAGGTTTCAAATCAGACATATCGGTGTTTGATAATGTCAGACTTTTGAGCTGGGGGTTAAATTGAAATGTATCAACATCTGGAGCTTGCTGATAGACATTAACAGCCTTGAATATTTCCAAATAAGTCATTGTGTGTAGCATTTTCATAGCTTCTTTGAGGTAAGTGCTGTAATATTGGCTGCTAGTCACTGTAAGACGTTTTAACAATGTTAGATTCTTTATATTGCCATTTTTATTTGGATAAGCATCTCTAAAAGTAAACCCTTTTCCAAAGTAAGCAGTAAGGTTTTCCAAGTGCTGCAGTCCTTGGAGGTCAGGTTTGTGCCCCAATGGAAATGATACATTTAGGTCCTCCAGGTTTCTCATTTCAGGAAATGTGTTATTTTGCATTAATAGTACATTATCAGATGCCATCTTTAAATGTCTTAAGGACCGTAAACCTTCAAAAGAATTTTCCTCTAGTGCATATATGTCATTTTCACTAATGTCCAAAAACTCAAGCTTATGCAGGGAAACTTTAAATGTATCTCCAAATGACCGCAGTTCATTATAACTCAGATCTAAATGTTTTAGTTCAGCAAGATGCTCAAAGACACATTTATCCAGATTTGCAATTTGGTTTGTGTTCAGATTAAGTTCTGTAAGACGTGTTGTGTTCTCAAAATCCTCACAGTTCAACTTTGAGATGTAATTGTTATCCAAGTGCAAGATTCTAAGGAATGTCAGGCTCCTAATGTCATATGAAACTCTGTTGAGGTTATTGCTGCTTACATTTAGGACCTCCAGCATTTTCAAAGAATGTATAGTGCCTTCTGGCAGTTCCTTTAATTTAGTTTCCTGCAGGTAAAGCTCTGTAAGCTGAGAGCATGGCTTAAGTTTTAAAGTCAGGTCTTCCAGACTGTTCTGGAACAAATCGAGCCTCCTCAATGATTTCAGTTTGCAGCCAGAGGGGAACAATCCTTTCCTTATCCATTCAAATACCATATTAATTCTCAGATGTCTCAATGAGATCAGATTTTTTAGGACTTTTAGCATGTCTTTGAAGGAAAGCACACCCTCCTCAACAAAAAGTTGTGTTACATTCTCCAGTAACATTTTGTCAGATATTTCCCATTTTAGCTCATTCAATCCAATCCCACAATGTGATAGATCTATCATCTGAAGGTAAGGAAAGATTGGTGTTGTGATGCTGAACTTTTTCAGGTACTGACCAGAAATAATAAGCTGTTCTAAATTGGAGGTTTCATTTAGCAGCAACATTTTGGTTTCAAAGGAAGAGAGGTCATTACATCTAAGACTGAGGGTCTGTATTTGTGGTAGTTGAATCAGGGGCCGAATGTAAGCAATGTTTTTGAGCATATTGTGATCTAAATCCAAATATTTTAAGCTTGTAAGGAACTGGAAAGTTGAGTTGTGGATAAATCCAATACCATTATAACTTAGATCAAGAATCATGATATTAGACAAGCCCTGAAACATGTTTCTTGTCAGGGAGAAGAGCTCATTATGTCTCATGATAAGCGTTTTCAAAGAAACCAAATCAATAAAAGATCCATCATCCACGTAACTAATGCCATTATTCTGCAGACCCAGGTATTTCAACCTATACATGTAATGGAATTCCTCTTTAATTTTCTGAAGCAAATTACCTCGGAATTCTATTGAAACAGCGTCTTTTGGGATTTTTTCAGGAAGAGTCTCAAGTTTTCCGTTAGTGCAGTCCACTGAAACACCAGAGGAGGGGTTTGCCTGATAAAGTATTACACAGTTTTTTAGTGAAAAAGTCAAAGAGGGGTTAATATGAAGAAAGAAACAGAGAAGTCCTAGAATAAAGTGTGAACACCAACTTCCTGCAGCCATATTATCCAGTTTATGAAAGCCTCATGAAGTTGTTCTGTGAAAATCATCTGTAGAGAACAATAAACAATACATTTTAATTATCAATCAATATAATAATAAGTTACAACAGAAGAGCAACCGGGAATTAGGGTTTGAAGGCAAATCCTGAAAGGGTAATAAAATGTCTTGAAAGATTCTGACTAACCTTTTAATTTACAAAGGGAAGGTAAGACTGCTTTTATTAAAAAAGGTTTTAATGCTTTTTGCAAAAGTAAATGAGAATAACAGCACAGAAATAGAGACATAAATTACCAGGAGCAGATACTTAAAAATGTGAAAACACCACATGGTGTGACAACACCAATTAAATTTCTTGACTAAAAAGACACAAATCCAAAATGCAATTTAGCAATGACATTTGCGTATATCTGATATAACACAAACTAAATAATTGCTAGCGTATTTGGTCACTTTACAAATTTGACTGTATACAATCTAAATATTCTTTTTTTGTGAAAGAATATTTTAACTTGCACTAGGGTATTAATACTTTCAAATACTTCGCATTAATTATATTCCTCATGGCTCAGTGCCCTCCACCTTGTGTAGTGATCATGGGAGCTGTCCGTCATGCTAGTAATATGTAGAAATACGTAATGCTACAACACAACAAGGTAAACAGGCCTGGACATGGTTGAGTTCTGCTGTGGCAGAAATCTGAACTGGTGAAAGTTCACTAATGGGATGATCAGTCATCTACGAGAAAGTATAAACAATTTGGTGTAGCTATGATATTCCATCAAAAAGATGTAGCTGCCTAAATTTTCTAGGAAACACAGTTGATCCAAATTCCAATTCATTCAAATGGAACTTTTGAAAGGTTGCCAGAGATTATTTAATAAACAGAGCTCTGCAACTAAAATGTATGATATCAAAGCTTACTGCTAAGCCATTCAGTATGGCCAACATAACTTTTCAGAAACTGATTAAACATCACAAATTAGTAACAAATTTTATTTCAGACATAGAAAGTATATAATAAAGACAGTATATGTCCATATAACATAAATTAAAACTGTCTGAAAAAGGGTGTATTGGCAGAAGCAAGAAGCTTATAATGCCCACCCTCCAAAGCCAATTTACATTGGACTTGAAAGCAAAAGAAAAAATAAATAAAAAGATGGCTACTGTTTATAATACATACCAATGTATGATTTATCGAAAAATTGTTATTCTACGATAATAACAACACCACAACAATTTAAAACATGTATAAGGGAAAGAAGAATAAAGGGAAATCCCCAAGTGAAACAAGTTACTCCGCTGCAGCTCACTTCTTCCTTCTTTAAAGGTGCAGTGTCAAAGTTATGTTTTACATATTTGCAAAAACTGTCACTATATTTTAATAGTAGAATATGACACAAAAAATCTGAGCAAACAATCAAGCTCCTCCGATTCCTTCAAAGAGTCCTGCGGCCTTTTGCAATAATACACAGCTGCTGTCATCAACACCTCCAACTATAGATGATAAAGTATGGCCTTCTTTTCATTGTTAAGTCCTGTTTCTTTTCTAGGCATCGCTATGGACTCCTCTTTTACTGTGATTAAATTAATCTGCTCACTTTCATCCCTTTGACATGAAAACTGCCCCAGAACTCATACTGTTCTGGGAGCATACTGTTACCTTTTCTAAAACTGAAAGCATTTCTGGATCAGTGCTTCTTGTTCCTCTTGCATTTCCACTTCTCACTTCTTGAACCCCAGAAGCCCTTTGAACAGGGCCACTCACACTGAGCCTGGTTCAGCTAGAGGTTTCTTCCTATAAAGTTTTAATTCCTGTATGCTTGGTGTCAGGGGCTCGTCAATAAGTCAATCACCTAATGCAAGCAAATATATACGTACTTTCACAACATGCTCATCCAGGAGCAGTTTGTCCTGCAAAGTCAATGACTCGATGCAATAACTTGGTTTTCCTTAGATAGAAAACCTTTTACCGATCTGACCGTATGATCTGATTGTCTCCGTACATTACCTTGATTGGTTAATTGGTGAGATATAAATTAACAAAAGAAGCCAAACGATCCACATTCCAAAGTGGTGGACCCCTTCCTCTGTTTATATTTGCATGTTTTTAAAAAACAAACAAACAGGTTTTTATTGGCTACTCAATGAAGCCTGGAACTTGACGAAATTTCTGACATTTTGAATTGAAATAGCTTCCTTGATGGAAAGTGAAACATCTTCAAACTTGGAAACAAAGTCCAGTGGATTGTTTTTTATTTTTTATTTTTTGGAATGACTATGAGCTGGATGACTAAGAATCTTCACCAGCATATATAAATTAACTGAACTAAAATGTTTCCAAACCAAACAGAGCTTAATTGAATTATACATAAATCATTTTTGAATTTTCTTACAGTTTAAATTCAAGACTAACAAGAAGCTTTACAATCAAAAAAACATTTTTCTTTAAGGAAACAAAAAACAATATACTTTTATTAGATTTTTTAGTTTATCTGAAATTAAGAAATGTAATTGATACTCACAGATGTT